CACCCAGCACTCTTCCCTGCCTATGCAGGGGGTCAGACTCGATGATCTCAAGCAAATCCCGGGACGTCTCAAGCAAATCCCGGGACGTCTCTCAAGCAAATCCCGGGACGTCATTCTCCCCCTGTACTCGGCCTTAGTGAGGCCGCAGCTGGAGTACTGTGTCCAGTTTTGGGCTCCACAATTCAAAAAGGATGTGGAGAAGCTTGAGAGAGTCCAGAGAAGAGCCACGCGCATGATCAGAGGTCAGGGAAGCAGACCCTACGATGACAGGCTGAGAGCCCTGGGGCTCTTTAGCCTGAAAAAGCGCAGGCTCAGGGGTGATCTGATGGCCACCTACAAGTTTATCAGGGGTGACCACCAGCATCTGGGGGAACGTTTGCTCACCAGAGCGCCCCAAGGGATGACGAGGTCGAATGGTCACAAACTACTTCAAGATCGTTTCAGGCTGGACATAAGGAAGAACTTCTTCACTGTCCGAGCCCCCAAGGTCTGGAACAGCCTGCCACCGGAGGTGGTTCAAGCGCCTTCATTGAACACCTTCAAGATGAAACTGGATGCTTATCTTGCTGGGATCCTATGACCCCAGCTGACTTCCTGTCCTTTGGGCGGGGGGCTGGACTCGATGATCTTCCGAGGTCCCTTCCAGCCCTGATGATGATGATGTCTATGAAAACCTCGAGGGAGTCGGTTAACAGCTACTCTAGGTTAAGGGACAAGAATCCAGAGTTTGCCTTGTTTTTGTGTGTCCCTTTCTATCCTGCAGTAATTGAAAGCTAAATAAGGGTCACTTGCCCATAAAGGAGACTTTAAGTTAAAATGGTTTTATTTTAATTTATTTCAGGGATTAGGAATGGATACACAAAACACTTACTACAGAGCAGCTGAAGTACATGCATAATTTGTATGTCCATACCTTTAGCTACCAAATGAGGTCAATAGAGTCCTTTAGTTTTGCCAAATCTGGTAGACTCTCAGGATTGAGGAAGAAACAACTCCAGCCACTCCTAACTGTGCTTTGCATTTGGGTCTGAACTTAGACAGAGGTATTAAACCTCTGTCAGAAAACACTTAAGGAAAGGCATTTAGCTACTTTTTTAAGGCATTTTTACACATGCAAGTGCCAGGTGTTTTGGAAAACACCTAGCACTGTGGTGCTTGCAGTTGTATAAGTGGTGAAGTGTGCATCGGCACTGAGAATGGCAGCAGTGCGCTTTTGAACTAAAACCCAGAAGGTGCTTTAGTTCAAAAGTGCACCTCCGTCACTTTCTGCATGCTGACGCACGTTTTGCTGCTTTATACACTTGTACACAATGCAGCGCAGTACGCGTCAGCTTGCATGCGGAGCACTGCAGCAGATCTCTGGCATGTTGTGGGATGAAACTATGTATATAAATGCTCCAGTTCTCCAAAAAATACAGGAATTTGTTTTAGCTGAAACTTTATAGCACGCCCTGTGGCAGATGAAACATCAGCCTAAACAGTTGATGCCTGCCAAATTTAAACAATAGTTTATCAAGTATCTGCTCCACTGTTCATACCTGACCATACTCTAATAAGTAAAACAAGTTTTATTCTTGTCACTTTTAATAAACCAGTACAGAGGTGCAAGGAAAAAAGCAACTAAACAACAGCCTACCATGTGGGTTTCCTGAGAGACGATGCTTCTTGGGAATTGAAAGAGCAGCGATGCCCTTGCCAGTCTTTCCTGCACAACAAACTCTCGAAGAGAGTCATGTGGGAGTTATAATGCGTAGGGCTAATGCTCCCTTCCCAAGTGCGCTGGGTACCTTAAGAGTAGGGGTGAGCAAAATGAGGCCCATGGGTCCACTGCAGCCAGCCAAGCCATTCTATCTGGCCTGCAGAGCCCCTAAAAAAATTTTAGAAAATATTAATCTGCCCTGGGCTGCCTGTCCTGTGGCCCTTGATGCTTTGCTGAAACTCAGTAAGCAGCCCTCTGCCCAAAATAATGACCTACCCCTGCTTAAGAATCACAGACTGATCAAACCTGTGGTTTTTGTGATAAAATAATAATAATACTTAGACTGACTATTCTAAGCAAGAACCTTTTATTAAATGTAGGCAAGGTGCCCAGCACAAGGGGGTTGGGGGTGTGGAGGAATCTCAAATCCTAGCCTGGGGCCTCCAGACATTTTCATAAGACAGCTGGCCTCCAGGGCCCACTTCACATCCTAATAGACCCCAGGCCAGAGGTCTGCTCCTGTTCTGGCCAGGAAAACTCGGGGTATTCAAATAGTCTGCAACCAGCTGCTAGTATCCCATCTCAACCCAGGGTTGGCACTTCTGGATTCCTGGTGCTGCACTGCTCACCCCATCCAGGCAGCAGCGAGGTCTTGGTAAAAATCCTCCCCACCGTGGCTTTTGCAGTGTGCCAGGAGGTGCACGCTTTCCCGGAAACCCTTCCCACAATCGGGGCACTTGTGGGGCTGCTGTCCCATGTGGATGCTCTGATGGTTCTCCAGGTCTGAGCTGCGGCTGAAACCGATGCCGCACTCGTGGCAGGGGAAGGGTCTCTCTCCAGTGTGGATCCGCCGGTGGACCAGGAGATCTGGGTGCCGTGTGAAGCCCTTCCCACAGTCAGCACAGTGGAAAGGGGCATCTCCTGGGTGGCTGCTCTGGTGAGCCATGAGGAGGGAGCGGTGGCTGAAGCTCTCCCCACAGCGAAAGCAGGTGTGGGGCTTTTCCTCCATATGGCTGTAACGATGCATTTCCAGCTGCCCAGGCCGCTTGAAGCCCTCCCCACACTCGGGGCACTTGTAGCGGTCGTCCTGGAGGTGGGTGCGCTGGTGGTTGACCAGGAGGGAGCGCTTGCGGAAGCGCCGGTCGCATTTGGGGCACTGGTGGGGCCAGGTTTCCATGTGGCTCTTGCGGTGGGCGGCCAGGTCGTAGTGGCGCAGGAAGCCCTCCCCACAGTCAGGGCAGGAGAAAGGCACCTCGCCTGTATGGGAGCGCTGGTGGATCACCAGGTCGCGGCGCCTCAGGAACCCTCTCCAGCAGTCGGGGCAGGGAAAGGGCTTCTCCCGCGTGTGGGCCTGCTGGTGTTGCAGGAGGCGAGCACTGTTGATGAAGGTTTTTCCGCACTCAGGGCACGGCCACTGCTTTTCCCCCGTCTGGAGCTTCAGCACCACTTGGATGTACTGGCTGCCTTCACTGCTGCCACCGGGGGGACCAGGGCTGCCCTGTTGCCTAGCTGGCTGGCTTCCCAGGGGCTCCCGTGTCCCTCCCTGATTTTCCATGGTTGCTCCAGGCGCAGGACTCCAAGGCACCTCCCCTTCAGATTTGATCGATAACACTGGGGACGGTTCCACCAGCTCAGGCATTGAGGATTTGTCCTCAGGTGGTGCTGATACTGCCCCTTGCAGCAGCACGAGTGGAGGGGTCCCTGCCACGTCCCCTTCAGCTGTTTCTGGTATTGTCCCATGTGGTTGCGTATGCTGAGAACTCTCCTCGTCATGGTCACTTGCTGTGCCACCCCTGGCGGGGACAGCGGGAAAATCCAGACAAGAGTTATTTCCTGCGGGGGGTGAAAAGGGAACCTCAGACAGGGGAACAAGCAAAGGTGGCAAAAAGCAAACCAAAATAACTGGGTAGGGAGGGAATCAAAGATGCAGAGTCACATCCCCACCACATCCTTCCCCAGAAAGGAGACCGGAAGGACCAATCCTACCCCTACATCCCAATCAATTGCTTGGGGAGGAGTGCACAGGAGGGAGACGGCTGCCAGACTGGGTGGGACATCAAGGGTGATGACATAAGGACACAGTCCCTTTCATGGGGGTCACCTCAAGTGGCAGGAGCCAAGGCCTTTTTGGGAATCCCAGCACTCCCCTTGACTTACTAATGGTTGGTCTCAATTCAGTTCTCAGGTATTCAACCCCTTAGGCCCTGTGTGCCAGGTGAGTGGACCAGGGCCAATTTTGCATGCTGGATCAAGTCCTGTGTGCCAGCATCAGGCCCCAGGGCCTGGCACTGCCCCCTCCTACCAGGATTGGGCCCCAAAAGCCTGGCACCACCCCTCTCCCAGTCCCCCCCCACCAGGGTTGGGCTCCAGGGTCCAGCATCACTCCTGCTCAGCCTAGTGCACAGGGCCTGGTGCTCCCCATGGGTCCCAAAATTCGGCAGCAGGGACACAGTGGCACCACTCCCCCGCTGCCAAGTTTCCTGACCCGCGGGGAACCCTGTGGATCAGATGACAGCACCATGGGCCCAATGTCACAGCGCTGCAGGTTGAAGGTGGTGGATTGAGCACTTCTTAGTTGAGTCCTTACCTATGCAGGCTCCTCTTGCAGTTTTCCTTTCCTTAGAGCCTACAAGACATGGGACCTGAGCCCCTTCCTCCTGTTCCAGCTGGGAGATCTCATCATCAGGCTCTGAGTCTGGAAACCCTGCTCGGAGAAGAAAATGAGAGACCAGGGGGCATTTTTGGATATTTCTCATGAAAAAAAAAATCCTCCACGGTTTTGCCCTCAGTTAATTTTAAAGCAGTAACATCTCAGGGCCAGCTCCCTTCCCCCCCACAACCCCATGTTCAGAGCCTCTGTTAATGAGGGGTTTATCCTGTATCTGCTGGAAAGGCACAGTCCAGCTCGCTATCACAGGCATGCCTATAACACAGACAAGGCAGCTCTGTGGCCCTGAAAGTGAGGACTCCAGTCAGAGGGGAAGCCACCCTCCATCTGTTTGCTGACAGGTAGCAGCCCAGGGAGAGAGTCACGGGGTAACAGGCCAGTGAGCATGGGCTAGTGGGATTCAGCATAGAAAGCAAATGGAGAAAGGGAGGGGAGATGTTGCTGGATGCAGATCAGGATAGCAGAGGCCAGCCAAACTCATTCAGGGATCGCAAACAAAAACTCTTACCAGCAAAAAGGGGAGAGACCTACTCTGCCTCCTCGGTTCACCCAGACATGTGGAGGGGTGGAGGAGGTAAGTCATTCGGGAGGGCACTACCACCTGCTGCCTGGATGGATGGGAAGGCAGGAGAGGTGTCTCCTATGAACCTGCTGACCTGAAAAAGATGAGGGAGGACTGGACAAGCTGCTGCAACCATAGTGGGAGCGCCAGATATTTTCTTTGCTGGGGGATGGTGCCTGTATTGGTTTCACCAATGCTTTATGTGTGTCAGCATCCCTTGGGATCTCTCCTTGGGGATCTGGGCTCCATGGCTTGGTGCCCTCTTCCAGCTGTGAAATCATGTTGTATTTAGGAATGAGAAGTCCTGCAGAGGGAGGAAAATGTGGAACAGCTGCAAATACAGACCGGGGAAGGATGGGCTAGGCTGCATCAGAAAAGGACCTGGGGAGTTGCAGTGGACCGTAAGGTGACTGAGCCAACCATGTGCTCCTGTTGCAAAGAAAGGCCAATAACGTAGCAGGATGTTTTAAAAGCCGTGTCACTCACAAACCCACGGAAGTGATTCTTCTGCTTTAAGTGCAGTGCCCAGTTTTGGTATCCACACTTCAAGAAAGATGTGAACAATTTAGAAAGAGTCTAGCAGAGAGCAACAAAAGTGATGATAGGCCTGGGAAACAAGGTTTACGAGAAAAGACTGAACAAACAAGGATAAATTAATCTGGAGAAGAGAAAACTGAAGGGAGGATTTGGTAACTGTCTTCAAATACCTGAAGGAATAACATACAAAGGAGACCAGTCTCTATGGCTGTAAGGGACAGGACCAGGAACAAGGATGTCAAATTGCAGCAGAGCAAACGTAGGATGGAGATTAGGAAGACCTTTCTCACTGTGGGGGTGGTTAAGAACAGGATTGCAAACTCCATCCCTGGAAATTTCAAGAGCAGGTTGGACAGACACTGGACTGGGATGGTTTAGTCAGAGATGATCCTGCCTTGAGGACGAGATGCTACTTGTCCTCAAGACCCTGAGGAAGATCCTTGTCCTCAAGATCCTGCCTCAAGGACTAGATCCTGCCTTGGATTAGATGACCTCCTGAGGTCCCTCCCAGACCTGTTTTTCTATGATCCCATACCCAGCCAGGACAGGGATCCTTACCCAATGAGGTCACGGTCTCATAATTCTCCTGCATGACGTCCCTATAGAGGGCTTTCTGACCGGGGTCCAGCAGAGCCCATTGCTCTTTGGTGAAATACACGGCCACATCCTTGAAGGTCACCAGCCCCTGAAATAGCAAAAGTCCTCTCAGTGCCTGTTGCCCCAGCCAAAATCCCAGCTACTTAGTGTGTCCTAGGCTGGCATCTCGCACACCCACAGACCTCCCAGCTTGTCCCCTCATTTCCCAGGACAGCCATATGACTCAGTCTCCGCTTCCTATCAAGAAATGCTGCCTCCTTCCAGTGGAAAACTCACTACTTTTCTCGCACATAGACTGTTTGCCAAAGGAGGAAAAAGGAGGGGAAAAAAGGGAGGGTGGGGGTGGCACGATTTCTTAGCAAAATCAAGCAAACTTTACCTTAGAAAAACACAGACCAACAGCATTTTTCCCATGCAGGTCAAAAAAGAGCATTATGCATCCAGGAAATTTTTCATAGAAAAATCTCTCATAGCCTTTGCGCAGGTGTTTGACATTTGTTCCTCACATCATGCTACACTGAAACTGGAAATAGGGGTCACATTTTTGAAGTGTGGGGGCAAGAGGCCCTGGAGCAGCTCCCTGATTGATTTTCAATCACTTGAGCCCTCTGAATCATGGCTAGAGGCCTCGCGGCAAAGACAGGCTGTAGCTCAGTGGTTCCCAACCTTTTTTTTGCTGTGACCTGCTGCTGGGAGTGGAGTGTGGCGGCAGCAGCGGCCAGGGGCGGGGGAGCTCCTGGCACGCGGCACGGCTCGTCCTTTGTATGCGGTGCCGCCGGCATTGCTTCCACAACCACGGGCAACTGGTGCCTCCTGAGTCTGAGGGGGCACCTGAAGAAGCTGCTGGTGGTGGCAGGGAAAGGGCTGGCGAGCACCTGCAGAAGCCACCAGCAGTGTTGGCAGCGAGGATGGGGCTGGCGAGCACCTGCAAAAGCTGGTGGTGGGGATGGGGCTGGCAAGCACTTGCAGAAGCCAGTGTCACCGTTGGCATTGGGGTTGGGGCTGGCAAGCACCCGCAGGGAACTGCTGCTCTAGGTGAACCACAAGTTAATATTTCCAATGTGGGCGTTGGTGGGGGAAATTCTCTGTCTTCTACTATGAAGGCATTCGGACTAGCTGATTATAAATGCCCCTTTTGCCCACCCTCCACATTCGGCAATCATCTATGACCGGCTGGCTACCCAGGCTTGGCCCGCTAGTCTCTCCTCAGTGCTCCTCCATCCATTTCCCAATGTCACACCTTATCAACGCCCCAAGGAATCTGGGTTGGCTTTTGTTCCCCCAGGTAGACCTCAGCCAGTCTGGCCACCTCCTTGCTGCTGCAAGGCTCCTTCGCCATCACCCAGGCCTGTGCGTCTGCTTGGAGCTCCCCTAGGAACTGCTCCAGGATGATGGCATCCATGATCTGGTCCTTGGTGTGCTCCTCCGGCTGCAGCCACTGCCAAGCCGCCTGGCTGAGGCGGGCCAGCGCCTTCCGGGGAGCTTCTCCCAGCTGCGCGGCTCCCGAGCGGAACCGCCGGCGCCGGGCCTCCTCGCCGGCCCACCCCGACACGGCCGCCTCTGCTTCAGTGCCGTTAGCTGCAGGGGCTTCCCTCGGCGGGGGGCCGGCCTCAGGCCCTTCTCCAGGGAGCAAGGGCAGTGCAGGGGGATTTCTGTCCCCATTGGGACGGTTG